GTGTCGAGAGCTGTGTGTTGATTAGCCTGGGTTGTGTCATGCGAGGTGGAGGCTTTGGGGTTCACCTACCTGCAGACAGGATGTGCAGGCATGGAGTGCCTAGAAGGCCTGTGGCTGGGCATGTGAGAGTCGGAACGGAGCCTGTGGTGTCTCGGGAGAATGAGGGGGTGCTGTGTCCCAGCACCAGGAAGGCACCGACGTCACCACTGCACCCAACTCACGCGCAGGCAGCATCACAGCCCCACAGCAAAACACGCACATGCTGGGGACACACCCACTCACAGACAGGCTGGCAGAAGCGCCCCCACAGTTGGAATCGCTGCTATATTCTAAGCCATCCCCAAGGACAGGGGTCTTGTGCACGACTTCTGAAGGCCACTGTACAGGCGGGAAATGACTGGCTCAGGACCCACAGTTTGGGGTAGACAGTGATTGGAAGGGGAAACTCCTGCTTTGTCTTTGGTTGGCTCCACATGAAATATGGCTGTGGGTAGAGCACTGAGCCCCTTGGCATCTGGCTTGATGGCACTATTGGAGTTGGGGGAAGGCTCACTTTGTTCTGCAGTTGGGAACCAAAGAGGGTGAACACTATTACGGAGCCTCAGTTTCCCCATTTTCTCTGTGTGGGTTTACGCTGTGGAACCGGGCCAGAACACATGGTTGGAGGAAGGAGGATTTCTTTGGCTGGTCTCTGATTCCATTTAGGGCTGGCGTCTCCTACCAGGCTCTGAGCAGGAGCGCCCCTTAATAACAGACAATAATAGCAACTAGCAGTTACTATGCATCAGCTGTGGGCCAGGGTTTCCTGTGCTGACTAGCCAGTTCCCCCACAGGTGGCTATGCGTGTTCTCCCTGTGGAAACCTGCCCAAGTCAGGCAGCTCCAACTGTGGAGATGGGCCGCGGTCTCAGTGCTGTGCTCCAGAGCTAGGTTGTGGCCGTTAATGTCCCTCCTGTTAGTTCCTTTTCCTCTCCCAAGCTAGGAGGGAAGGTTCTGAGCTCTGACATGGGGTACTTGTACCTCCCCACAGGGTTAATACCCTACCCCTTGATTTGTTTCTCCCCAGGCCTTGTACAGCTCCATCAAGAATGAAAAATTGCAGTGGGCCATGTGAGTAGTGGGGCTGTTTGGTAAGGGTTAGGATTAGCTTTGGGGCACGAGGAAGGGGGAGCCCGGGGACACCAGAGAACTGGGGTGGAAGGCCGTAAGAAGCAGGAAGGCTACCTCACTTCCTTCTTTGGAAATCCCTGCCTAGACTTGGGGTCTGTCTTGTGTCTAGCTCTGTTGTTATGACAAGCTGGGTTGAAGCAGTGCGGGTGTGTGCTAAAACGTAGAAGGAGAAAGCAGGCTAACGCCGGGAGTACCAGAGTTACCTTGGAATGTCGAGAACAGAGAATACTGTTTTCCTCCTTGTCTTGGAAGTGTTCTGTCTTTGGGGCCCCAGGCTGGGAGAGCCCTTGCCTACCTGCAGAGTTCAGTCATGGCTCAGCTTAAATAGGAGCTTCTGGTGGCAGGGAAACACCTCTGAGGAGCAGGACTTGGGACCAGTGTGCAGGAAGGGAGGAGGGCATCAACGAAGGCTTTTGGAGGCAACCCTTGAAGTCAGCACTGTAGGACACAAAGGGGGAAGCTGGGATTCGGGAGACAAAGGTGTGGCTGGGATGGTTGGAAAGGAGAGTGGGAGGATCGAATTAATGCCATGCAGGAGGCAATGGGGCTACTGGAGATTCTTGAGCAAGGCAACAATTGAATCCGATTTTTCTGACAGGATTTATGAGCAAAGATGTTGAGGGCACTAAGAGGCTACCTTTTCCCTTTAGATTTTGAGACAGGGCCTCACACTATGTCTCAGGCTGGCTTGACAATCCTGCCTTAACCTCTCCAGTGGTGGAATTGCAGGCATGAGCTACCAGGCTCAGTTCATCTCTGCCTTTTGGCAGCATGTAACCAACAACTGTGAGCAGTCTGGTGTTAGGTGTGGTTGGGACAGAGCTGAGTCACACGTGTCTGTCCAGGAGAAAAGTGTCAGGACTGGATGTGTGCTAGTCAGATGATGGGAAGCTTCCATGTGGCAGGGGGAGGTAAGGTCCAGGTGTGGTCCTTCCCCAGGAAGGACATCTGAGGAAGGGGCCAGACCTGCAGCCTGGGGAAGCCCTACTGAGAGACAGCAGGCTTCAGTTGAGGGGAGTCCCTGGCAGTTCCCCCTATTAAAGAGGAGCATTCTAGAGTGGAAGCTCTGGCTGAAGGTGTGTGTGTGTGGCTGCATGGCCAGTACTCTTTGAAATAATCACCCTGCAGAGACGAAGAGGAGCTGAGACGGTCTCTGTCTGAGTTGGCCGACCCTAACCCCAAGGTCATCAAGAGGGTCAGTGGGGGCAGTGGCAGCAGCTCCAGCCCTTTCCTGGACCTGACTCCTGAGCCTGGGGCTGCCGTCTACAAGCACGGGGCCCTGGTCCGAAAGGTGCACGCAGACCCTGACTGCAGAAAGAGTACGTGGCTGTGCAGGGGCCTGGGGGATGGGTGGGAGGTGGCCTCCCTCAGGCCACCCTGACCTGCCTTCCCTCACTAGCACCTCGTGGCAAGCGGGGCTGGAAGACCTTCCACGGGATCCTCAAGGGCATGATCCTCTATCTGCAGAAGGTGCGGGGCCAGGAGTGGGTGGTGGGGCTGGCTTGGCCCAGGGGAGTAGGTGGCTGGAGATGGCCAGGCCTGGCTGGGCAGGACAAGATGGGTACCCCCCCCCCCCGTAGGAGGAGTACCAGCCTGGGAAGGCTCTTTCCGAGGCAGAGCTGAAGAATGCCATCAGCATCCACCATGCCCTGGCCACTCGAGCCAGCGATTACAGCAAGAGGCCACATGTCTTCTACCTGCGCACCGCTGACTGGCGGGTCTTCCTCTTCCAGGCCCCGTGAGTGTCCTCGTACCTACTCTGGACCCTGCTCCTTGGGTTCCCCTTTCCTTTGAAGACCACACTCCCTAGGCTGGGGACACAGCTCAGTTAGCAGTGATTGTGTAGTGTGCAGAAGGCCCTGTAGATGCCAGACCTGGTGATGCATGCTTACAATCCCAGTGTTTAGGAGGTGGAGGCAAAGAGATCAGAAGTTCAAGGTCATCCTTGACAATATAGCCAGTTTGGGCCTAGCCTGGGATACTTGAATGAATAAAGTCATAAATAAGACCATACCCCCAGAGGGACTGGCACTGCTGGACAGGAACCTGGCCCTGTGCTGTCTCCCCAGGAGCCTGGAGCAGATGCAGTCATGGATCACTCGCATCAATGTGGTGGCTGCCATGTTCTCTGCACCCCCCTTCCCAGCTGCCGTTAGCTCCCAGAAGAAATTCAGCCGTCCTCTGCTGCCCAGTGCCGCCACCCGCCTCTCCCAGGTAGTCCCGAATCACCCAGCCGCCTGTTAACAGTGGAATGGAATGCGTCAGGGTGCTAGGCTGTGCTCTAGGCTGCATGTGTGATTAGCCATGTAGTACAGCTCTGTGTGGGTCACAGGAGGAGGGGCGTAGTGGTGATTGAAACCTAGCCCCCTGGTAAAGTTTGCACAAAGGGCCTGTAGACTAGTGACACTGACCAGGCATCCCTGGCTGTTAGGAGGAGCAGGTGAGGACCCACGAGGCCAAGATGAAGGCCATGGCAAGTGAACTGCGCGAGCACCGGGCTGCACATCTGGGAAAGAAGGCCCGAGGCAAGGAGGCTGATGAGCAGCGGCAGAAGGAGGCCTACCTGGAGTTTGAGGTGAGCCTCCCTGCCTGATGTCTTGGTGTCCCCTACATAGGACAAAGCTAGGCATAAGGGCATTGCATCAAAGCATGGGACCCAGCCAAGTGGCTGGCAGATTGCCTAGTTTCCGAGTTTTCATTTTTTCTTCTGGGGATCAAGTCTAAGCCCCACACCCACTAGGGTCAAGTGACATGTCTGTTATGTATTCCATGCCTCCAGCCCTGTAAAGGCTATAGAAATGCTAGCTGTTACTGTGGGTGGTTCTAGAGTCTGGGGAGGACCACCAAGCCCTCTCAAAGATGTCTTGTAGCACACAGCATTTCTTGGTGGGTGGTGGGGTGGGGTGGGGTGGGGTGAGGTGGGCCAGAAGAGGAAGGCAGACTTTCATTGCTTTTGGCCTTCTGCCTCAGAAATCCCGCTATGGCACCTATGCAGCGCTGCTTCGAGTCAAGATGAAGGCAGCCAGTGAGGAGCTGGATGCCATAGAGGCAGCCCTGGCCCAGGCTGGGAGCACGGAGGACGGATGCCCTCCGCCTCACTCCAGTCCTTCCCTGCAGCCCAACCCCACCAGCCAGACCCGGGCTCAGCGTTCTGGCTCAGAAGCCCGGGCTGGGGCAGGCAGTACAAGGCCAAAGCCCTGAGCAGGGAACAGGAGCAATGGGGGCAGTGCCCGCTGGGCACCTGCTGCATGATGAAACGGCCCTGCCTGAGCTCAGCTAGCCTCGGGCCACCCACGAGGGCCTCCTGGCCCAGGGCCCGACCGCGCCGGACGCGGTGTCCGGGGCAGGGCAGGGCAGAGCGGGGCCTCAGAGCCTAGGCTAAGGGCCTCTCAGAGACCCCCCCTTTTTGTGATAATGTTTTGCACTTTTTCGTACAGGAAGGGAGGGTAGGGTGGGAGGGGCCCAGGCCCCTAATTTTTGATTGGGGGTTTTTTGTTTTCTTTTCTTTTCATGGGGGAGGCCTGATAAAGTTTCTGCTTTCTGCTGAGACCGCCCCACCCTGACACCAGCAGTACCCCTTCATCCTGGGGCCTGGCTCAGACAGAGGCCAGGAGTTGGGGCTGAGCTGGTCCCCGTGTTTCTCCCCAAGGGCTCACCTCTCTCTTCACAGAGACAGAGGAAGGGTATCCACATTGAGGCCCCATCCACAGGTGGGGCTCCCCTCCTTTGGTGGGCCCTGTCCTTTGTATAGCCTCCACCCTCATTAAAACTGCTCTGAATTGCTGGCTGGGCGTCCTCTCCTCTTGCTCAGGGACAGGGATGGGCATCACATTGGCGTTGCCGTACCATAAGTTGGGAATGGGCCTTCCCCTTCCCAAAGGAATCCTTTATTTGGCCCACTGAGGTGTGGCTTGAGGTGTTAAATAAGATACAGATGAAGCAGGGGTGCTGTACAGAGGGGTCCAGGTGGAAGACGTTGGCACCATCAGTGCACCTGAGGCTGGGGGTGCCCGTGGCAGAGCCCTCCTGGTGGCTCGGGGGGTGGACACAGCTTCTCTGCCTCCTGCTCCACCGACTGGCTCCCGTAGGCACTGTCTTCTTTTGCCTCTGCTGGGAGAACAAGAGGGAGTCAAGCCTTGGGCCTCCCACCATCAGCCCAGATGCACCTTCAGGCCGGTCCTGTACCTGTGCTGGGCAGCTTGTCTCGGGTCTCGGGACCTTCCAGCAGCTTCACTCCCTCGTGTATACCCATGTCCTTCAAGGCCTTCAGCAGATCCCCCAAGTCCCCACCAGCCAGCTGATGAGAAAGGAGAGAGGAGGCCCAAGTGATATCTAGGGTGTGGGGTAGAAAGTCCTGGGGGAGGAGACTCTGAGATGGATAAGGCCTCTGGAAGCTGGGTGGGGTACAGGGCACCCACCTTGTAACTACGCAGGAGGCTGCCACTGGGTGAGGGGGTCTTCCTGTATGTGTCCACCAGACTTCTCAGCCCCAGTCGCTCTGCCAGTTCTGCCCAGCTGCCCTGGGCTTCTGGCCCATCTAGCAGCTGCTCCAGGTTCTGCAGGGCTGCATCCCCGAGTGACAACCCTGGCCCTGAGGAAACAAATACAGATCATCTGTGAGGTAGCTCCAGAAATGGGCAGGGATACATACCTGGTAACATGACAGACAAGGCAGGTATCTATGAGACACAGATGGCAGAGCAGGGTAGAGAAAGGGAGCCTTTGATAAAGTCCTAAAGGAGATCAATCACCTCTGGGAGGAGGCGCCTGCTAATCTCACCTGCAGGGCTGGGTGGGGTCAGGGGTGGCTCCATGGTGCTCTTAGCAGCATTTAGCAGCAGAGTCTTCACCTGGGGGGACAGTGTTGCCTATCATCCCAGACCTTAAGCCAGCTCTCCCCAAGTCTATGATCTGGTCCACATTCCCAAGCCCAGAAGGTGTCCAGTGGCCACCTCAGTATTTCTATTGCTAGGATGGCCTCACCTTGGTGCTGCACGTGAGGTCGAGAGGTGTATGCCCCCGGAAGTTTCTTTGGGTATCCCTCTCAGGCCCTTCAGAGTCAGAGTCGCTCCCAGAGGTGGGGGGTGAGGGCAGAGGGCACAGAGGCTCCCCGTTCTCTGCATGGATGTCAGCACCTGCAGGAGGGAGCCAGGCATCAGAGGAGACAGTGGAGGTTCCCACACTGAGGACTGAGCAATGACAGAGAGGTCCCCTTTCTCTTTCCTGCCCTCTTCATACATAAGGGTGAACTCACCAGCCTTTAGGAGGAGGCGAGTGAGGGTTGGGGATCCAAGTCCAGCTGCCAGGTGGAGGGGTGTGTTTCCAGCAAATGTCCGGGCGTTCACGTTAGCATGGAGCTGTGGGGCAGCAAATAGTAGTGACCAGCATGGCCCAAGTAGCCAAGTAGCCAAACCTTTCCGTACACCTCTTCATCATTCCTGTTCTTCCCACAATCCTCCCCATGCCTTCCACAGTCTTCATTCCCACCTTGGTAATCAGATGGGTGACCAAACCCAGCTCCTCCATCTCTGTGGCTAGATGCAGGGGTGTTCGGCCCCCTTGCCTCTCTGCTGCCTCCACTTCAGCTCCTCTGTCAACTAGCAGATCGAGGCACTCGGGGCTCCGGGCATGCACTGCCAGGTGTACTGGGTATAGTCCTAGAGATACAGCACACTCAACCTGTGGCTGTGACCCCCAAGGTGGCCTCTGAACAAACCATGACCAGGTAACCCTACTGAAGTCTACTAATCATATACCCTTCTTGTCTCAGGACTGGAGGAGGTGGGAAACTTACCTGCAAAATCAGGCATGTGCAATATTTGGGGCACAGCATGGGCCCCACTATGCAACAGCACCTGCAACAGGCCTAGGGCTTCAGCACCTGCCCGCAGAGCCAGGTGCACAGCCGAGTCTCCATGTCGATCCAGCAGTGTGGGGTCTGCACCCACCTGCAGCAGGAAGCTCACCACCCTTGTCTGCCCAGTGATTACTGCTAGGTGCAGAGGTGTCTGGGGAGGGAGGAAGGCAGAGCGAGCCAAGCCCACCACAGCTTAGGATTCCCTGTCTTCAACCACTACCCCTCGCCCCTTCCCAGAGGCTTCCCATACCTGGTGCAGGTGGTTAGTGAGGTTGATGACCCCAAGGTACTGGGCATGACAGATGACATGGGCTATCTGCTCAATGACTCCAGTCTGCCCATGGATAATGGCCAGGTGCAGTGGCCTGGGGGTTGGAGAGGGAGACCTTGACTGGGAAACCAAAGCCACCCAAAGCATCATCTGCCCTCAAAACCTTCATGGTCACCTTCACTGGTGACCCTGGATGTTACCATCTTTATCCTTTGTCACACCTTGCTACTGTGCCCCTTTCACAGCTAACAAAATTGAAGGTTGGGGAGAGCAAATTTCTTGAACACAACTAGAAAATAACGAGGACCAGATCTGTCTGACTCTAGGGTTCGGCTCTTTGCCGTTTTCTCTACTGCCCCAACCTTTAGACCTGGTGGTACCAGGTGACCCCCTGGATGTCCCTAGGCTGCTGGCCCTCGGGCCGCTTACGTGTCTCCGTTCTCATCCTGGGCCGTCAGCAGGTGGCGCTGTCCCGCCAGCAGAGCGCGCGCGTCGGCGGTGACGCCGTAGTCCAGCAACGCTCGGGCGCTGCGCTGCGCCAGACCGAACAGGCGCGCGTTGTACTCGCGAGCTGGAGGCGACAGGGCGCGTGGGTGCGGGCCAGG